ATATGCGATAAATGTGTGTAGATAGTTTTTTCGAAGAGAGGTAGTCTATTTTGTCGTTGTCATTCGTTTCTCTTATTTGTGCGAACAACAAGGAGAGAACAAGATGCAACAAAATTGGCTATCTTTCTTCGTGGATAAATCAAGGTGATTAAAGTTTATATTTGATGTTTCGAGTGAGTTTGTCGACTAATATAGAGGATGCTGAAAACTACTATGTATAATCAATTTGTATACGTGTGTATGAATTGAATATATATAAATAGTACATGTGTGTGTGTGTGTGTGTGTATACATATACAAATAAGAACTTGAAGAAAAAGAATACCGTTCACGGAGAGGACAGAATATTTGAGAGATGATAGGCATGTATATATATATATATGTGTGTGTGTGTGTGTGTGTGTATATAAAAACTGCCTGTCATTTGAGTGTAAATGTGTGTTGATATAACTGACGGATTTAAATGCAGGTCATTGTATTCGAAATCAGCACAGCAGAAAATTAATAAATCAGTAATAAGAGCCTACGTGTGAAACAGATCATGAGAAAGAGAGAGAAAGAGAGAGAAAGAGAAATATATACGTGAATAATATAGTGCAATGAATAGTATAATATGATAATATATCGTATGAAAATGGAAATGTTGGTCGTAGGAAGCATTTGTATGAGCGACCGACCCAGAATCGTTTTTGCTAAAAATAAAACCGTGACCGATTCTTGGCAGTTAAATCCGCGCTTTACAAATGCCGTCCTTTAAATAGAGTATAAATATGTAACAATCAATAAGTACAGGTATGCGCACAAATGGTAATAATAATAATAAATATACGTGACAATCTCAGCGTGTGTGATGCGGCAGCAACGATCGTGAGAAAGAAAGAGAGAGATGCTGAAAAGAGGGCGACTAAAATCTGAGTCGATTCTAAGCTTTTATACTTCGTCTAATAGAACTACGAAAGCGGAGATAAAGAGATTGAGCACGAATGTGACTAAAATTCTAATCTTTCATCGGTTTCATCGACCGGCACGCCTGACGATAAGTTGATTTGCCGTTCGCGTCCGATTTCGTTCGATTTGACAAACGCATCCAACGCGCGCGAGCTCACAACGCGAGTGCATTTTGAAAAATAAAATAAAATAGTATAACCAATATTTTTCTGATGCTTTATCGCACGATAGTGTCATTCGTTTAATTTTTTCGACCCTCATTGTGTGTGTTTAGAAAACATACAGGCATCGTCAGAATTTGCGGTAATCCGGCCGTAAAAAAAACACACACATAACGCAATTTGATATTTTACGACGTGCATCATTTTATTCGATTGGCCGTCCCGGTCGATCGTAAAGGAATAAAATGGATTACAGTGGAAAAAAGATTGGAGGTGAGGCGGTGGAAGAGGAACTAAAGGGGCAGTACGTGTGTTACGAGCGTTATTCGAGAGATGCGTCGACGGTCTCGCAACGACGAATTCCGCCGCGTGTGTGCTTGCTTGAAATTCAATTAACGTGACTGTTTACTGGATAAGCAGAATATTACAAAAATTCTCGGAGGGCTCGACGCGATGCGAGAGACAACATACAGAAAATTCAAATGCAATTGATTCGTTTCGCGCGCGGCCGAAACGACGCCCGCCGAATATCCCCCACGCCAATATCCCGGAGCAATGAATATCCTGTTATCTACGACTAACGGGTGTCTGCGCAAAACTTTTCACACCTCTGTGTGCAGGCTAATTTCGTCCGTCGCTTTTGTAGGTGTGCCGTATTTATAGCGGGAAGTTATAGAGCGTGTGTTTTAAAGGAAATACGCTGCCGCGATATAGCCGCTGGAAGCGCATGAATAAGAGTTTATGATGTTTTACAAACACGTCGGAGAAAAACATAACAACAACAACAACAACAACAACAACAATAATAATAATAATAATAATAATAATAATAATAATAAAAATATGCATATTTTTTTAATTTAACTGAAGAACGACGAGGAACGCTCTAAGAAAATATGAGAAAAGAATTCAATTTAAAAGGGATTCCAAGATTATATTCCAGACGGTGGACTCTTATAAGTCCGAAGTTTCTTCAAGGCGGATGCAACGTTCGCTCGACGGAGAGTTTTCTGAAGAGAGTGAGTTCGATAGAAGAATAAAGTTCATGCGCCGCGCGCAGACGCGACTCCTTATACGCGTCGACGACCGACTACTGGACGCTACATTTTTTCCCTGGTTTTTTTTTCGTATCGCGAGAGATTCGGTTCGCGAGAGATTCGATCCCCTCGAAAACAAGGACGAGAACTGCTATCGATTCTGCGCGACAACGCGCACGTACGAATGGCTCTATTCCTGATAGACAGAGGCAATAGGATTGTCGATGCAGAGAAATTGGAACGATACTTTGCATTGCCAATCCTCTTTTCATCCTCGTCAGAGAACGAGCGAGCCTCCGGAAAGATGCACAAGTGATAGAGTCTTTGAAAGCCGGGGGTTTCGTCGTCGCGCGTCCACGAAATTGCGCGAGAAAACAAAACGAAAGAAAAATATTTTTTCTCCGTCAACCTCCATCTCTTTTTTGTCAACGCGCGCAACGAATACGAATGACCGGTTAGATTATTATTTGACGTTGATATTGTTCTTTTCTCTCGGATATATATATATATATATATATATATATTTGTATATAATGCGTGTCAATAGCGCAAAAAACGTTCAATTAAATCTCGCTTATTTTTTAAAAAATATAAGCTATATGTGCTTTCAAAAGAAAAGCGCCAAAAGCGATTATTCGATTTCCATTATTTTGCATTTACCGTAAATTGATGTGTTTCGCATGCAAAACGAGTAAAATCCCGAACTCAAATAACCAGTCGTCGCACTGATTTCGCAGAGAATATGCGGATCATAAATTTTACACAACAAATTTAGTTGATAATAGGAAAATACTTTTGTACAGGCAACAAAATGGCTCCGCGTCAGGTTGTGTACAACGTCAATCATAATTAAATGAACTAAAGCTTTTCCTTTTCCGCGCGAGAGAATGCATAAATAAAGAATCACGCCTGTAATAACAGACTAAAAAAAAAAAAAAAAAAAAAAAAAAAAAAAAAAAAAAATACTGATTAATCCCAGCTGATTTATTTGGCGTGTGAANAAAAAAAAAAAAAAAAGCCTGATTAATCCCAGCTGATTTATTTGGCGTGTGAATCTAAACACTTGAGTTTCGAGATTAAACACGTTTTAATTTTGAAAAACAGCCAGAAGTCTCACGGAGACTAAGCTCTTAATATAATATACTAATCGCATGCTATATCTAATTTGACACACTAATTAAGAATTATGAGAGATCTGCCGAGAGGTCGATCTTACCTAGTAACAAGATATGTACCTACGTACATAGTTTCCCTTTAATCGTTCTCATTTCATCGTATCTCATATTGTGCGATATAAAATCTCAACGTGTTCTCGTCTCGTGCGAGTCTCGTGCGCAATTTCAAATACGCGCGTCGCGTCTCTGTACACTTTTTTTTTTTAAACCCTGCCCTCTGTCGGGAATTCTCATCCAATTGGTAATTCAATTTTCGTGCGAATCGATCAATTCGAATTTTAATAATTCAATTTTCTAGCTCCTCTCACAGAACTGATATATGCCGACACGCGTCGATTGTTTTCTTTTTTTTTGTTTTTTTTTTTACCGGTCGCGGCGGTCGTTGCATGAACGTCGAGCGCGATTAAAAGGGTGAGAACTGACAAGTGGGACAAGTATGTCTGCCAGAAAAAAGAGAGAGATAGTGAAAAGTTGCTAGACAGATCGTTCTTAGATCGGCTCATACCGGCTCGACGGCTTGCCCTCTCACAGAGTGGTAAGAACGTGAAACGTGAAAACGTGATCGTGAAAAACGAAGGGGGACAACCGACGGGCCCCTGGTCCGTTTGGAATATTTACCGCACTCTTTACCTGCGGTCCCCATATTGAGAATGCTGATCTCCCCGAAGTAGGAACCCGCCTTAAGGGTGGCGAGCACTGTCTTCCCGTTGTCAGCCACCACCTGCAGTCGGCCCCTATTCACTATGTACATCTCCTTTCCCACCTCACCTGCAATCAAGCGAAAAGTGACACCCGAATATAAAACTCCCGTTACCGTTCTTTAACTTTACTTTCGTTTTTTTTTCCAATTCACTTCGGACACTCGTGTATTCTAGTGCTTTACAATTCTTGGTAAAAAAAAAAAAAAAAAAAAAAGAAAAAAAAAAGAAAAAAATATGAAGCAACGATAGCACAAGTCGTATCTCCAAGAAGAAAAAAGTTTTGTGAATGCGTACTTAACATAAAATTCCACTTTTTCGTGTAGTACCTTTTTATGAATCTATAAAAATAATGAGCTCTTCTCGGCGCCACCGGAGTGCAGCATTCCTTGTACTACGATGGTACATGACGTGAGCTGCTGTCTTACTACGTTGTAACACGGTGCTCGTATTATTTCACCGACGTGACTTCCGTTATTGACTAGCGCATATTTCAATGCAGAAGGAAGAGGAAAAAGAAATTGAAAAATACGAGAATTAAATAAAAAACCAACTTCAGTACACATGTATAATTCAGTTAGTTTCTCTCTCTCTCTCTCTCTCTCTCTCTTTCTTTTTCTAAACAGCAGAACGAAGATACAACAGAAGAAGATACGTTATTTTGGTGAAGTTTAATCGACGTCAAAGATATCGATTTTAATAAAGAATGACGTCGGCGCAACAGAATACGGTAAGGAAAGACCGTCATTTGTCCGGCAAGTAGTAACGCCAAGTCATAATTCCGACCGTAATCGAGCGACGCGATGCAGCGACGAATCGTCCACCCGTCAGAAAACAGGCGTGCTGCTACCGTCGTATTTCCGGCCACACGGTGGCAGTCGTTTCACCGACAATGAAAAGAAAACTTTCCGTGTCGCGCGCGAGCGCGCAAAGTGGATGGAAGACGGGCGGTCCGCAGGGAAATGACACGGCGCCTTCGTTGAAATTACGTGTGACTATATTATCGGTTCGAAGACGGGCTACTAAACACGCGTTAATGCGAGGAAAATGCCAAATAACAACGAACGCTTTTCATTTATGCGCCAATTTTCACGCGCGCGAGACGAAGAGAGAATTCTCGTCACGCGGCGCAAATATTCGCAGATTAACGGAGTCACGGACGTTTCTTCGAAGCAAATTCGTTTTCGAGCATTCAACAACACTCAAACTCTGCAGTGTTCAGAGACAAATTACCATTCGAATATAAACTTCACGAGCTTCGATCGTTTGAGAAGAGACATAAAAACTAAAAAATTTGAAATAAAAGAAAAAACGTCCATTTTTTATGATACTTTCCGAAAAAGAATTTGAAATAGTAGAAAGAGGAAAAGTAATTGTTTTTTCTTTTGCGCGTATTCTGCCGCAGGCAGATTTATATTCAATTCTCTGCTGGGTCTATACGAGGAATATAGAATTTTTTGGAGACGCGTTGGCAACGCGTCGGTCGTGAAAATTTACGAGCAAATCTCTATGCAAGTGGTCTCTACATCGAAGTAGTTACTCAGATCCCTACTTTCCTTCTTTGCTGATAACGAGCGCACCAGTCACTCAGTCATAAAGTAAAAATATTCACCTACCACTGGTTTCGGCTTACGTGCTACCGGTGACGAGGACGGCGCAGAAAGAGAGAAAGAGAAAGAGAGAGTGGAAGGGGAGTGAGAGAGAATGAGAGCAATCATTTTTCACATCCACGATACTGGCGCGCTTCCAACGCGCTGCGCGTTCCATAAGCAGGACACGTCGAATCTAGAGAGGAATCTCGCGCAGAAGGGAAGCCTCTCGCACACATTTTCGAGGTACCGCAAATGACAAGGAAAAAGTCAATATCTGCTACACAACGAGCCACTCGCATTTTTTATCCAAATTCTAATTTATGATGTTAATTCGCGATAAATTATAAGGGATTTACTCTCCCTTCTCAACTTAGAAAGAAAAATATTTGATTATTAACTTGCCGAGATTTTCTGAAAGAAATGGACTCCCTTACCTTTGCGACAGATGTAGTCGCCAGGTGAGAAAAGAACGGGCCGTAATCGCAGCACCAGCTCGCACAGGAAACCAGCCTCCGTGTTCTGAAAGATTTCGACCCTCCTCAGCGTGTCCAGATGTACGTTTATCGCGATCTCTGCCTTCAGCTTATCTACAACATAACGAGCAGACGAGCGAGAATTAGCGCATGGAACAAAAAATAAACTGGATCGTTAAAGAGCTGAAAAAAAATTCCGGAAAGAGCAATTTCCGCGCGCCGAAACGTTGAAAAAATTATGCTGAAAATGCAATGTGCGAAATAATACAAGTTTTTGATTACTTTTTAATTACATTAATTTGTACATCTTCATTTTACATATCAACTTTGCGCGTTTTTGCCCGATGTATTGATTTTCAGTATCGCGACGTCCACACAATGATAAAACGTTGCGCGCGGGAACAAGTTCGCGCGTCGCGATGGCGAAGTTGCGAAAACGCTGAAGGACTGTTTTTGTTGCGCGCGATGTTGAAGCAGAACGAGAACTTGAACCGACGGGACGTTTCGAAGTGTCGCTTTTTGCGCGCGCGTGTTTTAGACAGACGCGATGCCTCATTAGCCAGACAATTATCGTTCGCGGAGAATAAGGATCAGGTTGTAAGCAACTTGTAGCAATCACGTGATAACACGTTGATGTTTGCAAGGTTGTGTTGCGAAGAGAACGCGCGAATGTTTTTAAACGGGAACGAAGATAAGAACCACATCGTGTCGAATCGTCGTAAATCGCTTGCAGAGACGTGAGGCGAGACATGGAGGTAAACATTTGCCAGGGTTTTATCTCGGGTGTTCGAGAAATACCCGACTTGAACGTTTCAATGGCATCGCCGAGATTAAACCAACTTCTTTATGTGATTGCTTCGGCAAGCAATTTCTTATAGGACGTGAATTTACACGAAAACGAGAGAGAGAAAGAGCAGATCGAAAATTACTTACGTAGATGATTATGAAAATGCTAAATTATCGAATTATTTACACGTTTACTAACTGATTTCATAAGATATTATTATCACACACAGCAATTGTTCATCGCATTTACAGGCTTGATTAACGGAACGAAGGTTAGTGTGGCTGATGTTACTACTATCTCTAATATTATCGTGTAGCACCGTATGCCAGAAATTGGCAGTTAACCCAGAAGAGTACGTACGTAGACGACACAAGTATGACGCGACATTTCTATTGTTATTGCTACTTCTATTGTTATCGTTATTGCAGCAATATACCGCGTCGCGTAATTAGCATTAAATTCCGCAAATTTGCGCTAACCAAATTGTGATTAGCGCGAGCCTATTGCGAGTCTCCGGCACGCGGCATTTTTTGCTTGTGTAATTTCGCCCGCGATCGATATACGTCCCGATATTAACGTGTAATGTAGCCTAATTACTCTCGTCTCTGTGCCGATGAAATCCAGTTATTGTGAAAAAATAGGTACGTATGGTTTTTTTCTTTTTATGTCTTACAGACAATTTCGACAATTATAGCGGCGTTAAATAAGCAGTAATTTCCAAGTAACTTGTCTTCTGTCATTTTCTGATGTAAAAAATCAACTTACAAAATAAGAAAATAAAATACTGAATAACGCGAATTGTTCCATTATTTGTTTCACGTTAAAATGTATTTTAACAATAAAAAAATGTATTCGAAACTGTTTAAATATACTGCTATGTTTGTTTTTTGAAAACGTATATTTGAAATTAACAAAGACAAGGCTCAGAAAATGTCGTGAGAATTTAGATTAGTTATTCATTGGACATCAACGTGACGAGAAAGTGTGTCGTTTAAATATCGTCGATATTAGTTTTAGTATTCGCTGTTATTTTCGCGATGTCTTTCGCGCCGTATCCGATGTTTCACGTTGCCTCCGACGATCAAACGACGTGCGCGAAGAAAATCGCGCGTCGTGATAGCCTTCAATTTTTCAATCCGCGCTAATATTCAATTTCCAAGTCCTCGTTACGCCGCGCGCATTACACACTCTCGCACAGCTTTACAATTCCACATCCTATAACAAGTTTATTGCATTGAGAAACGCGTCGTTCGACGGTACAGGAACGGCTTCCAGAATGTTGTTCCGGAGGTCGTTCCTGGCACTCGCCGTGAAAGCTAGTTTGAAAAGACGCGTATTTCGCGGGGAGAAACAATAATAAAAAGTTGCTCTTCCAACAATTTATTTTCCTTCTTAACGTTTCCACATTCCACGAACTGTTTCACATTATCTCTACAACATGTCTGAGAGGAATTGTGAACGCCCCACATTAATCTTTTTAAAGAAAACAATTTTTCTCGAGCGATGGCAATTTTTATATTTTATTATATTTTAAATCTTTTTGTACAATATATTGCGCGGAGATTAAATTTTCTGAAAACAAAACAAAACAAAAAAAAAGAAAAACAGTTGAAAAGTTTGCATTATGCCGTAATTTCCTGCCTTACCTCGGTTTCGTGAAACGTTAATCGATATGTCACTTCTCGTAAGTGAAGTGAAACATTTTTAAAAATTGCGTACCACAGCGCGCGCGCGCGCGTACATACACACACACACAAAAGCCTAGTGAGAGAAAACTGACAATTTTCCTTTTAGTGGGAGCTTGACTTCGCGTTAAGCTCCCACTCTTGTATATCTAGGCGCAATAAATTTCAGCGCAAGTCCTCTCGGGGCGTTAGAACCCAAAGAAGATTCCCCCGAGTTTATTTGCTGGAATTCTATACACACACAAGTCGCATTTTACGTTACAATCTGTTTTTTATTGTTCATCGCGAGCGATACAATCATTACCGTCGTCGCTTCGCTATGGCGAGTTTAGCGGGGAATTCTGGCGGCGTTCTATCGGAGCCACGATGTTATCGTTTCGCTCGCAAACGACCCGCGAGTTATCTTTAACAGTCGACTAGGAAATGCATGTCCGGTGTTTACGCGAGCGGTAAAAACACAAGTTGAGCAAAAGTTGTTGCGAGCGTTTCTTTCGCGCGCGAATCGACTCTTGTGTGTTGCTCCGTTATGCAAATATTTACTACACAAAAGTACCCGCTCTTGCTTCCGGTGGGACGGAGTTCAGAAAAAAAAATTAGCACGAGAAATTAATAAATTTCAATTTCGCGCGCGGACTTTTTATATTTCGTCTCGCGTTGCGAAAACACTCGTTGCGAAAAATTTGCGCGCAACCGCCGTTTTTGCTCTTTCGCGCGCGATTGCATTAAAGAACGACGATGTTGGTCGTCGTATACACATACATACACACGCGCGTATAGCCTGCTTACACGTTCGCTTTGCTCGCATTTTAGTTTGCAGATCCCGCCTGCAAGTTACGAGATCAAATGTTTTCCGTGAAATTATATACGCCAACATTGGCGAAAGGCGGCGGTATCGTTTCATTGCTCGTAAACACTCGCAAAACTTTGGAATCGTCGTTATTCGAATGGTAAATTGCAGTTAAAAATGGAAAGCTTTCGCTATATGCGAGCAACGAGAACGTATATACGCGGGCTTGCGCTAATTGCACTCGTTAAGTTATACACGCTTGTAAAATAGCGCAAGCCTGACCTGCGTTCCGCTTAGAAGCTCACCGTATAAATATCATGAAGTTACGAGCTACTACGACGTCAGATTTTCATACATCTCGCTCTTGCGCAAGTATATCTATGTCAGCACCCGTTATTAAACAGTAATAAAGATAAGTAGAAAAGGAAGTAAATGATGAATGGAAAAATAAATAATTACTGCCGTAATTACATGACTTAGCTTTTACAAGCTTAGCTTTCCACGTTATAAAAGTACCTGCACTCTTTCTCTCTCTCTCTCTCTCTCACTCCCTCTCCTTTTCTGTCACTAAATAAATTTATCTTCTTCATTTAATATTAATTCGTTCACCAAAGTAAAACTATGCTTACTATTGTGTGTACAAAACAAATTAGAAAACAACAATATTGATATTTTACCTGGAAGACAACTCACTGCTTTCTCTTCGTCCGAGCACTTCTGCGTGAGCCACAGGTAATCGAACCATTTGATTACTTTCACCTGCAAATGGTTCGGTACCCTCCTCATCCTCATGTACGTCTTCACGCCGTCCAGCTTCGCTGCAACCAATATACGAGAAAATGTTTTTTTTTTTTTACATAATAAGTTTTATTATATTTCTATACATGCGATAACAAACGAGAAAATCTAAGTCGCTTATATATATAGCTATCTGCGAAAAAAAAACCTTGCGCTTGTTTTGCGACAGATATTATGTTTCATAATTTGTGCGCACTTCTCTCTCTATCTAATGCGGCAATCTGACAATCGCACGAGCGCGACTCTGCGGTCGTTCTCCTACACGTTGTGAACGAGATATACGTTCTCCCAGATAAGCTAATCACACACAGATATGATAACGCGTTTTCGATTTCAAATTAATTTTATCACATTTAAGCGCTCAAAGCCGCGCGCATAAAGCCCCACTCGCGTTTTCCGCGATTCGGGAAATATGATAATACATCATTATACCACTGTGAAATGTTTGACGGGATTAATCTTTGCGGTCGATTTCGACAAAGTCGATAAAATCAAATGCCCGTTGTACGGCAAGCTGTGCGTGTGATTCGATGAAAGGCACACGTTGTAAACCGTTATATACGTGATTACAAACGTGAAATAGAACAAAATGAAGTTTCTTCGCTAATACAGAGAGAGAATGTTACAGGATATTACGGGATTCAATATTTTTTTATTAATTGACTATTATTGTCGTATAAGTATTTTTCACTCAGTTAAACATCTTTCTCGTTCAATTCGTTTTATCGAGTCTTTAATCGACTTTTGTAATAAATCGCTGACATGTAAGTTAATAATAGCGCTATCCGGTACGGAACGCTTGCGCGTTTCTCGCGAACAATTTTTTTTTTTTTTTTTTGTCGATCCAAGGATCGTGTGTTGCCATTATCAGTTAATTAAAACGAACGAACACAAGAGCGAACTCGCGCACGGTCCTCATGCTTTTTCATCTCTCTGTCGATGAAAAAGCATCGATAGGGATCTGTTATTAATACAGCGAGATATTGCGGCGTATCTGACGCGAAATAGTCGCACGGATCACGGATCACGGATCAATGATAAATGACGCAGCGAAATGGAAAACTAAGATATGCTTACAATTTTTTATGAGCATTTTATGTATTTCTCTCTTTTTCTCTCGATGCGCCGCATATTCATGTGAGCGCGATGCATTCGATTGCTGGTGGAGAAACGGTATTAAAAATAAAAATGTTGACCGAATATTAATATCGCTGAATATAAAAGAATAATGGGAAAACACAAAATACACACATTAAAATCTTGAAAAAAAAAAACAAACTAGGAGATAATATCGATGACAAAGTACCTGATAATTAATAAACGAAATAATAATGTAAATTAATTCAATGTTTTAATTTAAAACTTGCGCGATATATACGCGAAAAAAAATATATGTATATTCGGAAAAAATAAATTTATATAATTCTCTGTCACAATTAAGACATAATTTTAACGCGCGCGCAAGCGACATTTTAATTATCGCTCGTTTTTTTTTGCACCGTTCCTGTTTGCGCAGATGTAAAATAAAAAAAATTCGCAAAATTAGAAAAGAATAACGGCTGATACGTGCCCGTCGTGCCAAGCGACGGTGACGGAAATACACTTCCGCAAAGTACAACGTACTCTCTCTCTCTTTCTATTCTACGTAGAAGAAATGCAGTTTTCGATCTCAGTTAAACTTTCAGTTACACTCGATAGCGCGCAGCATTGAAAGCAAATATTTTGACGACTTTACTATGCAAAGGAAGATGGATTTCCGTGCTCGTATCGCTGCACGTCGCTACTAAACAGGGTAATACGAACATTCGAAAACGGATGCCAAAAGAGAGGGGAAAAAAACGGAACGGCAAAATAGCTTTACGGTGCACAGTTTACGGAATGTCAACGAAAAGTTTAACGAGCATTAGAGAGATATTATTACTGAATTTGCAATTTTCGCCCTCGAATAGGCTACGTTTCAAGATTCTATAAATATGGATTGCAGAAAACGAAGAAAGCATATCAAGAAATGAAACGTCAAACTGTCTCCGAATGCCAATTGGCAGCCGGCGTTAAATATTCAACGTTCGATATTCAATCGAGCAGCACAAGCAGGGAGCCAATGGAATCGATAAAAACGCGTTTCTTTGTCAAATTATACGTCATCGAACGATTGCGAACGTTCATGAATACATATCCGAACGCACACACGTTCGTATTTTGACGGGACATGACGTCAAGCATGTGAAAGATACATCTCGCGCAGCTTGCCGATAAAATCAGAAATTTTAAAACATCACCCTGTTACAAAAAAACCTTACGTGTGCGTGTAATATTTTAAAAATCCGTGACAAATCCACGGCAGATTTTCTCTTATTCCAGACACGCGGATTTTATCTCCCCTGTGAATTTCTATGTTTACTCCATTTCTTTTTTTCCCCATCCGCGCTCAAATGTTAATGCGCAATATGTGCGCGCGCGCCAACGGTCCGCAGTGCGGGGCTCGCTGCGACAATCTCATTTTTTCGTTTTTTCCAAACACCATCCGGACTGCGCCGGAGAACAGATCGAAGCGTCGCCGATTTTTACATACCCGCGAGTAATCAATCCCAGGTATTTCTCCGAAGGGAGAAGTTGGGAGGGAAGGGAAAGGGGGAAGAGGGATTGATCCAGACGCGAGATCCCCACGAGCGACGGATCGACGTCTGTAATCCAGAATTGGCCGAAAATGGGTATAACGGGAATACCGAGGTTTGGCTTTGTCTCGCTTGACTGACAAGGAAAGAGGATGGGGTGGCTTCTATCGGAAACGGGTTTCCACCGACAGTCGTGTCTGTCGCGCTTCGAACGCGGCGCAATTTAACTTACTCCCTTCCGCCTTTTCTCGCACCTCCGCTGGCTCACCGCGTCTCGCAGATTGCTCGCCGGGATTCGCCGAGCAATCTGGAAGGAAGATGGGCACGGACCGATATTGATAATATATACAGGCCCGATTCGGCCGATAGAGCGATCAAAGAAGCGAGAAGATTCCTGGCGGCGATCCAACCCCGAGGCGGCACCCGTTCACCCTCCGTCGCATTTCCGATCATTTTTCCAGCGAGTTCGTCGAACCGTGCTCGAATATACGAGCACCGCGGCGTTGGCAATGTAAAGTTACGTCCGGACGACGTCCCTCGTTCTCTCACCCTCTCTTCCATTCCGCTTCTTCCCTCCCCCTCCCCTCTCTCTCTCTCTCTCTCTCACGAAGCACTTTCGCGCATGCAGTAAATGCGCGAAGTGGTCGCGTCGGGAGAGACGCCTTCGATATTTCGGGATTTTGAACTCGCGCGATGTCGGTAAACTCGCTTCTCGCGATAGGATAGGTTACAAAGTGAGTGGAAATATACACTTCGCGTTTTATCGAGATTTTCTGTAATCCAGAAGTAAACTCCGCGCGCACACACCGCGCTTGTGTAATGTTAAAAACTAAAAAAATCCGCGAGAAATCGCGTCACATATCTTCTCTCTCTCTCTTTTTCTCTCCTACACAAGATTATATTTTTTTATTCTCCTCAAGAGTATACGTAAGTAATGCATTTTTATGATATTTATTTGCAGTTGAGAAACATGCACGGTAAAAAGCAGCTGTTTTTATCGAAGAAATAGAGACGCAACGCGCATACGTCAATGCGGAAATGAACATAAAACTCATTCGTCGTTTTGCTCAACGGCGGAACTTCCGAATGCGCTAAAGGTTAATGGAGAACATTCCCGATCTCGTCGTACCGGCGCGAGATCAAAGCGACGCGATAATTTCTGGCTTGTTTCCAGTTCCGTCGGCGGTAGCTAAGTCACGGTTATTTCGCGCGCCAAAGACTCGATCTCGCTTTCACACCAAAACGGGCAAATAATACAAATTGTATCTTGAAAACAGAACTTTGACTCTCGGACAGAAACTCATTCGAGAGGTCTCGTCCGGATAAAACTCCCGTTGCAACAGAAATTCCGTGTCGATTCATCGTCGCAATCGGGAGATCAACGACTGAGAATCCGACGCCGCAATTTGTTGGGAAATCGGGAAAACGTTAAGTAGTGGAAGTGATTATCCGCGCCAATGGGAGCATGTGAACAGGGCGAAGGGATTAAATATAAATGATCCGAGCAATTCGTTCTCTCATCTCCCCCTTCGAAAATTCACCCCTGACGACTTTGCTTGAAAAATCACTGTTGTTTTTTTTTTGTTTTTTTCCTTTTCCTCTCGCGTCGGTTTCTGGCTCGAATCCCTAAAACGACACACGCCGACGTTGTCTGTCCGAACTGTGCAACCTGAAACTGACAGTCGGAGACGAGGTTACGGAAGATCGATGGATCTCCAAGACACGGTCTTAACGACCTTGTTCCATGTTACCGATAGCCTCCGCCGGAACGTCGTTACTTTCCTTTCAGTCCACTCGATCAAGGCACTCCCTCTAATGAACGGCGTCTGTAAATGGTTTGCACGTAATAAAAGTAAAGATCGTTCCGCACTGTTTCCCATAAATCATCGGGATAGCGAGCGACGGAAAAATATGTTATATGTATTTGCGATTGCCCTCTGCAAAGCGAAAATGCGATTCCGCCGCGCGTATTTCCGCGATGCCATTTCTGAATCCTTCTCTTTTTTTTTTTTTTTTTGCCTCCCGATTGCCGCCGAACGACAGTTGCGAGTCCTCTTTTGTCCAAAAATATGACCGTTACGTGGAAACCTGCGTACGATCCGATCAAAAAAAAAAAAAGAGAAAAAAAAAATCCCAGAGCCCACGTATATAGCTCGGTCACGCGTGCGGGCGGCTTAATAAAGCATGTACTCAGCAAATATCCGAAACGAGAGCAATTGTATCGCTCGTCGATGGAGCTATGGAGCTTCGCTTTTGAAATTCCGCTCCGCGCCGCCAGCCATTGCACACCGGCACGGATTAATTTTCACGAAAGTCTCCCGGGCCAATTAATCGGGAAACGCGGCCTCGTTAATTATCCGGAATTCTGAACGAGCATGCACACCCGCGTCTCGCGCAAACGCGCG